GCCGCTGCTGATGCCGCAAACAGCATACCTATGTCTTGCTTTTTTTCTCTGTCAAGGTGAGACAAAAACTGGCATCCTAATGTATTTAAGTTAGCTGTAGAGCTTACATAACAAAGACCAATTGTAAATGTCCCTGTTATTGTGTTTCACACGATTGCATGTAGTGAAATCTACCTCCTTTTTACTAACTATTTTTACCAGAAATTTGTATAAGTTTTATATACATGTACACATATACATTTTATTTACATATAATGTAATTAATTGACATGTCTATTTTCAGGACCTCCAATTCATGCAGTTAGGCATGTTTGTTAGTGGTGTTCAAGAAGTATATCACTGGATTGAGCTCTCTGTCTAAGTGTATTATTAAAGTGCTTTGCATTAAGCTCAGTTCATTGTTATGCCAATGCATTCTTAGTGAACTGAGATTAATAAACAGACAACCATATCTACAACTAAGGTAAGATCATTAAAATTGTCAACACAAGGAATTATTGAAGCAGCAACTACAGAACATAAGTAGTTAAAGGGAGATTAAAGCATTTTATTTACATTTGAAACAAACATTTTGCATCCAGATAGCCAAATAAAAAAAGCACATTGAAATACACATAACATTGCTACCTGGAATATGATGCTAGGTGGTTTTGTAACACTTTTTAACCATTTGTACTGCCTACTGAAGAGTCCTGAGTGCTACTGTTCATTCATTCATACATATGGACGAAACTCATAAGGCTTAGTCAGTTCCTAAAATTATCTTTCATTGTTCAACTTTTATCATTCCTTTCGTTATTTCTTAATTTGTGTTAATGATAATTGCCAGATTACAGCACTGTTTATTTTTATACCCACAACAAAACTGCATCCTACAGGTTTCATTTATATTTTTATCCACATAACAAAAACCTTGAAACATGAATAATTCTGCAATACCTTATTCATACTTATTTTAGTCTACACTTCTTGTCATAATTTATTTCTAGAAATTAAGAATCATAAACAAATAAATTGGATATACATGTACCATGTTATCAAAATTATTTCATACGGGTAAATTTGAAAAAATTCAAGTTTTATCATGTTTATATAACTTCAACCAGGCTTTGGAGAATCTAAGAAAAAGACTTTTTCAAAGAAAGAATTAAAATACATGTGTAACACAACAGAAGTGTACTTTCTTGCTCATCTAGCCCCTTGTGCATGCCAGGTATTATCGTCACTTTGAACTATTAGACATCTTCTTAGAAACAATTTTCGAACATGTAAACGAAATCTTTCACTAATGATACTAGGATGATCCTTAACTACAGTGTTCCAAGTAAGAAATGCCCACCACAACGGACATAATTAGAACCATAAGAGAAGAAAATACATACAGGTTCTTATAAACCATCTTGCATATAAAAATCACAGATATTGCACATATGCAGCTTATGTGTTCCTCTACTAATTTTGAGTTTTTGCTTTTATCCAAAAGCAAAGTAGTGGAACATATTTTAACAGAATCATTTGGTAGTCCATATAACATGTACAAAAAGTGTCTCCTCCATTATAATCTTGAACATAACAAGAGTGCACATGCTGAAATGTCTCGCCTTCTTTACTAATCATTGATATTATGTTGATAGTCCTAAATATAAAGCTTTATTACAACTGCCACATAAACTTAACATTAATCAAGTAAACTAAACATTGACCAATGAACCATGAAAATGAGGTCAAGGTCAGATAAACCATGCAAGGCAGGCATGTACAGCTAACAAATCTTCCATACAACAAATATAGTTGACCTATTGCTTATAGTTTAAGAAAAACAGACCAAAACACAAAAACTTAACACTGAGCAATGAACCTTGAAAATGAGGTCAAGGTCAAATAAAACCTGTGTGACTGACATATAGATCATAAAATATTTCCATACACCAAATATAGTTGAACTATTGCATATATAGTATTAGAAAAAAAGACCAAAACTCAAAAACTTAACTTTGACCACTGAACCATGAAAATGAGGTCAAGGTCAGATGACACCTGCCAGCTAGACATGTACACCTTACAATCATTCCATACACCAAATATAGTAGACCTATTGCATACAGTATAAGAAAAACAGACCAAAACACAAAAACTTAACTATAACCACTGAACCATGAAAATGAGGTCAAGGTCAGATGACACCTGCCAGCTGGACATGTACACCTTACAGTCCTTCCATACACCGAATATACTAGACCTATTGCTTATAGTATCTGAGATATGGACTTGACCACCAAAACTTAACCTTGTTCACTGATCCATGAAATGAGGTCGAGGTCAAGTGAAAACTGTCTGACAGGCATGAGGACCTTGCAAGGTACGCACATACCAAATATAGTTATCCTATTACTTATAATAAGAGAGAATTTAACATTACAAAAAATCTTAACTTTTTTTTCAAGTAGTCACTGAACCATGAAAATGAGGTCAAGGACATTGGACATGTGACTGACGGAAACTTTGTAACATGAGGCATCCATATACAAAGTATGAAGCATCCAGATCTTCTACCTTCTAAAATATAAAGCTTTTAAGAAGTTAGCTAACCCCGCTGACGCCGGATCACTATCCCTATGTCGAGCTTTCTGCGACAAAAGTCGCAGGTTCGACAAAAACCAAATATTGAATAACCGACACTACAAATACTTAGTGTGTCTGATATTTAGGATGGCTGTCATTGTGGAACTCAGTTTAACATAGAACTCTATTGTAAACAAGAGTGCACACACTGAAATGTCTCGCCTTCTTTACTAACCATTGATATTATGTTGATAGTCCTAAATATAAAGCTTTACTACAACTATCACATAAACTTAACATGATCCAAGAAAATGAGGTCAAGGTCAGATAAACCAAACTGGAAATACATGTACAACTCACAATTATTCCATACACCAAATATGCTTTAAATAGTTGACCTATTGCACATCTAAGAAACAAACTTAATCAGGAAAACTTAACATTGATCAACGAACCATGAAAATGAGGCCAAGGTAAGATGAACCCTGCCAGACAGACATGTACACCTTACAATCATTACATGTTTTAAATATAGTTGACCTATTGCATAAATTATATAAGAAACCAACTTAACCAGGAAAATTTAATATTGACCAATGAACCATGAAAATGAGGTCATGGTCAGATGATAATTGCCAGACAGACATATACACCTTACAATCATTCCATACACCTAATATAGTTGACCTATTGCTTATAGTATTAGAAAAACAGACCAAAAAACAAAAACTTAACATTAACCAATGAATCGTAAAAATGAGGTCAAGGTCAAATAAAACATGCCAGACTGACATGTACATAGTAAAATATTTTCATACACCAAATATAGTTGACCTATTGCATACAGTTATAGAAAAACAGACCAAACACAAAAACTTAACTTTAACCACTGAACCATGAAAATGAGGTCAAGGTCAGATGACACCTGCCAGTTGGACATACCAAATATAGTTATCCTATTATTCATAATAAGAGAGAAATTAAGAATACTAAAAATCTTTACTTATTTTTTCAAGTAGTCACTGAAACATGAAAATGAGGTCAAGGACAATGAACATATGACAGACATAAACTTCATAACATAAGGCATCTATTATATACAAAGTATGAAGGATCCAGGTCCTCTACCTTCTAAAATATTAACTTTTAAGAAGTTTGTTAACGCTGCCAGATCACTATCCATATGTCGAGCTTTCTTAGAAGTCGCAGGCTCGATAAAAAACCATAGAAAACTATTTTGTCAGAAAACACTGTCAAACATTCAATCATACTATCCACACTGATCTGTGTCCACACTAGTTTTCATATTAAAAAGACATCATAGGTCATCATGAATGTTGTTTTGGGTACTGTAAATTCAGAAATTCTTCAAAAAACGCAATAATAAATGCACGCAATAATTTCTGAATTTACAGTAATCAAATCCATGTATAGATAATTAAAATTAAGCAGCATTAAAATAGTTCTTGTTATCTTATAACAAAGATTTGAATAAATTAAAAGGTCATCATGCATAATCTGCCCCATAGTGGAGCTGAAAAAAGGTTGGCAGCTATGTAGAAGGATACATATCTTTACAGGCTCACACATGTATGTATCATAGGTCAAACTTATTCGTTCAGTGTATATTTACTTGTTTTTGTGTATTGTCTTTTTGATAGAGTTAAGCCATTTCAATTGATATTTTATTGTGTGTCTTTTTATGTTGTAATGTTATACTACTGTTTCAGGTTAGGGTGAAGGTTGGCGCCTGTTAAAACGTTTAAACCCACTGCATTTTTATGCACCTGTCCTAAGTCAGGAGCTTGTTGTTCAGTGGTTGTCGTTTGTTGGTGTGGTTCATAAGTGTTTCTCGTTATTGTTTTTTATATAGATTAGAGCTTTGGTTTTCCTGTTTGAATTGTTTTACACTACTCTTTTTGGTGCCTTTTATAGCTTGCTGTTCGGTGTGAGCCAAGGCTCTGTGTAGAAGGCTGTACTTTGACCTATAATTGTTTACTTTCTACACATCATGACTTGGATGGATAGTTGTCTCATTGGCACTCATACCGCATCTTCTAATTTATACATACAGTAATACATGGATTAACATCTTTAAACCAAAAACTTTAACCTGAGAATTTACTTGTTTCACACTACATGTATTACATTTTTATGATCAGTGAACTATGAAATTAAGGTCAAAACCCTAATTTGGCATATAAAGGTAACATCAAAATGGACACATGTACTACTAAAGGTACAAGTTGATGTGACATAAATCAAATACTTTAATAGTATATAGGATAGACATATGAACGGAGAGAAGCACAGACAAGAAAGTATAATGTCCCCTTTCTTTTTCAGGCGGGGCATAGAAAATTGACATGGCTAGATATATAAATTACCTTTAAAGGATTTGAAGATTAAAGTGCAAATTTAGTCATGATAGCTAGTACCTGCATGATGAAAATTTTCTGTTTTTTTGCAACATCTTTGAATATCTCCAGCAGCTCATTCACTTTATATCGGTTGGGTTTCCAGTTTGATCCCCATTCAATTTCAAAAGCCACTTCAACTCCTTTTTTTTCATTACTTTCTTTTCCATAAATATCTTGTTCTTGTTCGATTCCATGTGAGCTAACAGCTAATACAAGATATTTGTATTTTACTTCCTCAAATTTCGTTCTCACTGAAAAAAAAATTAGTGTGAACTATATTCATCCCAATGCAATTAACTGGGTTTCTTTCTTCTTGTCAAACTTGACAGCAATTACATAAATTTTATGAAGAGCTTGTTGGTTTTAAAAAATATACCAAAATGCATGGAAAATAAATAAAGTTTTATATATAAATTAACACTAAAAAATCCTTTAATTCCATTTCTGTAAAATTACTAACTGTCCCGATATCAAATAAAAAAAAATATATATTAGTTTGATTGCATAGCATAATCTTTTGTTTGAAGAGTAGGGGGATTTCTTTATATAAACTGCTTACATAAGTATAAAACCTGATGGGCTCACTCACAGTCAAATCATGTTGTTTATGTATTAGGTTCATTGATTGTATCATAACAATAATCTCACATGGTTTGGTCTATAACTTACAATCTATTAACTGGTTTTTAAAGTCTTCAACTGTTTTAGGGGGGTTGTATGTCCTCATATTAATCTTTTCAACTTCACAACCCTCAACCTGGCTCCAGAAGGAATTAAACTTTCCATAGTTATCACCGGCACTATTTTCATTCAAAGGAAATATTTTGGCCAATATTACCATTCCTCTTGAATATATTGTTGTGGATTGTATAGTCCTGGAGAAAATAATAATACATTATTTTTGGGATTATCTCTACAAAATATTATTGTTCAATGGTATCAAATCAATGATAAATCTAGGATTTTTTTTACTACATCCATACCTTACTAGTCCTGATCAGTCCTGCTGACTTCAAAGATTGGACTAAAAATGTATTGAACTTGATTTGATATGATTGATGGATTGTTGTTTGCTTAATATCCAGTGGCAAATATTTCATACCTATTTCTTATAGGCTACTTTCCATTTTGTTGGACAATTAAGTTTCAATTCTTCAAGTTCTTTATATAATATCTAACTGAAAAAACAACTTTGATTAAAAAAAATACCAGACTGAATAGAAAAGGGAATTAAAGTTGAAGGACAATTATTTTATGTTTGACTCCAAAATATATCACTAAAATCAGGCATTGCAATGGGTACGAAAGTTGCATCTACATATGCCAATCTAGTAATAGGATACCTGTCGATTCAAATAAACTAGTGATTCCAATGTTCATTTGGACAGATTCTATAAATATTTAATTGAAAATTGGAAAATATATTTGGTTGTCAGACTGTTTTATTTTAAGGAGGAACCGCTAAGAAATGCTAAAGGAATTCAAAATTTGCTCAAGAAATAAACAAGTTCTTCCCAGACACCATCAGATTATGGAACAGTCTGCCATCAACAACTGTAGCCTGCAACTCAATCGACACCTTCAAGTGTGAGTTGCAGAAGACAAAGTTGTGTTAAGAACTGTTTGAGAGATTTTAATTGTACATACTGGTTTTTAACTGCACTGTAGATATTGGTTTGTCTGCACCACGCATCAGTTCGAAAATACACCAGATGGTGGACATTAGTAAAAAAATACCATTTTGAGATATTCTGAGCATAAAGAAAAAAACAAACATAGAACCCAGTATTTACTTTATAACTTATATACTGATTCAAAACAATATTTGTTATTTTCATCATATTAACCTAAACATATAAGAGTCAATGAACCATTAAACATTGCAAAATACATATGCACAAACATATCAAATCCAGAATTTAGGTGATTTGAGAAACACTGACAAAAAGAACAATCTAAGTGCTTGTGAGCACTGAAGGGTAAAGATTGCTTTCATTTTGCAATTTTGTGAATTTTTAAATAAAACATTGAATTTGCTAGGAAAATTAAAAATTTGAGTTGGAGTTATCTTCCTTTGTTCATGATTGTACATTTGTAGTTGAACCTATTTTTATAACAGATTCATACACCATGCATTACTTATGTAATTTTTAATAAAAAAAAATAAAGTATTGTAATTTAAATACACATCATATTGTAACTTAAATATCAAAGTATAACATATCATCAATAAATTGAATGACATTGACTGGATAGGATCTAAATAATGATCACTTCACTGCACTATTCTGTTTGAACTATCAAAGGTAGTGATAAACCTTTAGATATCAAGTCAGTGCCATAGGGTTTTGATTGCATTTCATGCAATCTTTACCCAAAAATGTGGAGGACACAATTGTGAATCCTGTTTGTATTTAACAGATGGAGCAGAGTTTGTATCCAATTTCAGACCTGACATAGACAGAAAAGCTGAAAATTTGGGATCAAAGCAAACGAAAAACTATTTAGCTATTAAAAGTAAACTATTGATTTATGTGCAGGACCAAATCTTCTGAAATTCTTTATTATTTCAATCCCTTTAGGAATTAGTGTTTTAATCAACAAAATATAATTATTCATATTGAATACAAACAACTATGTGCATTTTCATTTTTTTCCCTTCATATATATATATATACCATTCTTCAGATTCGTGCAATGATACTAATATAAGATAATTGTCTACGAATAATATAAACTAATATCAATTATGTCAATACAATATTATTATTTCATATCTTATCTGTAAATAAATATCTTTTGACAGTGTCATTGCAGATATCTTTAGACTAGTAAAAGTGATATTAATGTGTACATACATTTTTTTTTGCTTATCATAGAAACAATATGTCATATATCATGATCTGGTAAATAAGTAAACATTCTTTGCCCCACCCCTGAACTTGTTTGTCCCATTGAAGTCTACATCAAACAATCTTTAGAACTGAGGGTGTTAAACACCTGTCAGACAGGTTCATGATATTGTTTTTAATGATCCTTCCAAATACAGGGGTATAGACATGATAGATCTTTCTAGTTGCTTATGAAAATTTTCTTGAAAAGTTAAGATTATCTTCCAGATAAGTAAAATTTTCTTTAAAATAACTGTTTACTAAACAAGGTGCAAATAGGCTTCTGGAAAAATAGCTGAACATATCAACTTTAAAAACTCTAATTGACAAGACGTTTAAAAAATCTAAGCAACTATATACTTGTTTTGTATAACTAAGAAAAGACACATTAATAGAGATGGCCTTTGTCATAAGTTACTAAAATATAATATAAAAAGATTGTTTGTTAATATCATAAAAGAAATAAACAAAGATGTCTCAGTAAAATAGGGAGAGACTAACCCAAACATTTCCCACATGTGTAGGATTAAAACAGTGTTATATATTAAGCCCTACATTATTTTCATACAATGTAGTTTATCAATCAACTGGTTCAAATATTTCACGACAAAACGAAATGTGATTCAGCAGGGCTAGATGATCCTAGATGTCAGAGTGACAGCAAACCAGATTTTCCTGCAGAGGTCGAACCCTGATCAGTTGTGCAAGTATGGACACAACATTTAAGCTTAAAACAGCTCTGAATTTGGATTGTGATTGAATATTTGATACAGCATAGGTTTGTGACACAAAATGAATGTTGTCAAACTGAAAAATTTGAAATTGGACATTTACCTATTATGGTTCAATATCCAAAATCTAAGTACATTGTTAGAATCAGCATATCAAAGAACCTCAATAACTCAATTTTTGATGAAATACTTTTTAATTAAACCATTTTTGTTCAAAGAGAAATAACTCAAACTTATTTCCATGAACCAGTAAAATTAGATATGATTTAACCACTAAAAAATAGTTCTCTAAAATTAGATATGATGTTATATATATCTATTTCAGACTACACGAAATTCGTCGGACCATCGGACAAATCCGGAGAATAATGGATCGGTCTGGTAAAATTTGTTGAATTCCGGTCCGAATGTCCGGTGTTGTTTATCGTCCAGTTTTGTTTTTTTTATTATCGCATTTCCAGTAGAATACCACTTCCGTTGTATTTTCAAATTTATATATGAAAGGATAACATGATTGGATTATTAAAATTAACGGAAGGAGCCATTCCTGGTAAAGCTGCAAAAAAGAAAATAATAAACGATGAAAGGAAAGAAAAAAAGCAAATTATATGAGGCACAACTTTCATCAAAATATACACTCTTGTCACATGATTTTGTTTTTGTGCATTTTGGAGAGGAGTAGGGCACAACAAGTCATAAGTTTGTTATACTTTGTCGGATAATATACAATTAGATGTAAAAAAAATTGGTCTGGTAAAATTTCATTCGGTCTGGTTAAGCTAGGTTGTTTACCAGACAGAATGTCCTGTAAAAATAAAATTCATTCGTGTAGTCTGTCTATTTCTAAATTATAATCAAATATAATTAATAGTTCCCAATATTTTTTCTTTCATTTGTCACAATCTAATATAGATCTGCAACTTATCTATCAATGTTAACAACTGTCTCTACACAATGTAATGTAATGAAAAATATATCCTTTAATAAAAATAGATTATTATCTAATGAAAATGATATTTGCAAATCTGGACCCCCAAACAGGATCAAGTAAAAATTTAACATTAACACACAAAACAAAAATAAAATACCACATAACTGTGACATCTACCTTCAAAACACACACGACTTAAAAAAAAATAGTTATAAAGAAATTTTTGACAACTCCTGACTAATCAATTGAACAAATACAATCATTGATAGACTATCTATACATAAACTTATTAATTTCTGTTCAAAGGGAAATAACTCAATCACATAATGAAAGGGTCTAAAACTCAACAACGAGACAAGCTAAATTCATGAAAATTGAACTTGACCTTCATTAAGTCACAGGAAACAACATATCTAAATTTGAAATTCGTCCAAGCGTTTTTATGTTAATGAACGGACACTGTTTGGCAGCCGCCTGCCCGCCCGCCGTACATCCCAAAATCAATAACTGATTTTTACTTCGAAAATCCAGTTAAAAAGTGTTTTGTCTTCTTTATGCAGACGATTTAGTATTAATATCTGAATCTGCATCAGACCTGCAAAATGCTTTAGAAAAATTAAATATAATTTGTGATTTTAAATTAAATATATCTTTTAATCTTAGCAAAACAGGGAATATAATTTAAAACAAGAAGCTGTCAGATTGAAACCAAACCGGATTCACCTGCATGAAAATGATATTTGCAAATCTGGACAACCAAACAGGATCAAGTAAAAAAAAATAAATGAATTTTTGTAGGGTTCAGAAATTGAAATGCCAAAATCAATCTAAGTATCACTTTTTGCTACTGAAAGGTCTACAACTCAACAACAATAAAAGCTAAAATCGTGAAAATCGAACTTGACCTTCATTTAGTCAAAAGAAACAACATATCTAAATTTGAAAAGATTTCGTCAAATTGTTTTCAAGTTATTGCACGGACAACGCTCTAAGTATTACTTTTTGCTACTGAAAGGTCTACAACTCAATAAAGATAAAAGGTAAAATCGTGGAAATTGAAGTTCACCTTCAATTAGTCACAGGAAACAACATATCTAAATTTGAAAAGATTTCGTTAATGCACAGACAGTGTTTGGCAGCTGCCCAGCCGCCCGACCGACAGCCATACATCATTAAATTAATAACCGATATTTTCCTTCAGAAATCCGGTTAAAATGCAAATTCTTTTACACAGTAAAAAATAGTTTGTATCAAGCCCACCTTATCGCTATTTAGTCCAATCCGGAAAAAACAGTCATTTAGACAACTTCCTTTTTGGGTCAACAGGCAAAAAAACAAAGGTCATCAGTAACGAGCTGAGGGAGGGAAAAATTTAGAAAGCGATCAATAGGAAACTTTGATAGATTATGATCCACTTTTTCGAAACTCAAATAATAGTAAAAAAAATTATTTTGTTTGAAGTATTAACGATGTTTTACACAGGTCTCAAAATTATCATGCATGGTGCATTGTTAAACAGATAGCTTCAACTGGATAAAAGAGTTGTGTAATTTTAGAACTTATCCGGAATGGAATAAATAGCGATTAGGTGGTTGTTGTTTATATTTAATTTACTCAGCTGCTTTTAATTCAAGTGTGTAATATTTCTCTTTAAAATGTTGTTTTCTTATTCCCACAATGAATCACAATCACATAATTAGAACTGGAAATTTATAATTATCAGATATGTCTACTTTCGGTTTGATAATATCGAAACCATTCATTAATTATATTTCAGAACAGCTTTTCAACCGTTTTCATATTTTCAATTCCTTAAAATCATTTCTTTTAATTTCGGCTCGACGTATCTTATTTTTCTTACGCTAGTTTTGTTCCCTGGTTAATTGTCAGGAATAAGCAGTTTACACACACAACTTTCTTTTTTAATTTTTAGTCTGGTACTTCTGTGAAAGAAAGAAGAAAGAGAACCAGACTTGTTCTGCTATTTCTACTGCGAAGGTAAACGACTTGCTAAAATGAGGTACCAGTTTCTCATTTACTTAAATCTGGTCAATCGGCAAACCTCGGTTGAATCCGGTAGACAGTCTGTCATTCAGTAAAGAGTAAATCTTTATGTTATGGCTATTAAAGGACTAATAAAGATGTTATAAATTGAATATGATATCAGAAATAACAGAAAATCGTGATGCATTTTCTA